AGTACTAGAATTGAGGAGTTTAAATATAAATATAAATGTATGTGTTATACAAGATATATGCAAGAATAAGATTTATTCGAGAAGGCATTAAGGAAACACTCTGTTTTATCTATGTAGAGATACTGCTTGCAGCCAATGATGCATGAAATTTTGTATAATATGATGTCATGGGGTAGGACTGGATAAGTCTGACTTCTTCCTACTCCATTCAAACATGTAATAGGTGTAAGCAAACTGATTTTGAATTAGCATTGGTTGGATATGTGTAATTATGTGTGTTGTTGTCATTTGTTCATTTGTTCTGTTCTGCATGTTTGAAAGAATCAATCAATCAATCAATCAATCAATAATACATTGCTTCTTGTAGTCACAAGTTTCTTCAATCATGTTCTTATACATGCTTTTATATGTAACTCATTTTATTCAGGATTAAACAAAAAAACCCTCTCATGCCTTCTGCCAGAAGAAAATGCAGCTGTTTTGCTTTTAACAAATACTGAAATTTAAATGTTCAACCAGTGTTTAATGGAAGCTGAACTTGCCCCAGTAGCTGCTGATACAGTTCTATACAAGAATCATTGTGGCTGTTCTTTGCACTTCCACCACAGCCTGGTTTGGTTCAGCAACCAATCAGGATAGGATTCTGATTGTAAACAAAACAAACATAAGATGGTATCATATCACTCCTGTTTTAACTTATCTTCACTGGTTTCTAGTAGGTTTTAGAACTGATTTTACAAATTACCTTGAAAGTACCTCATGCTTTAGCTCCCAGAGCTGAACTGCTGCTTCCCCTAAGCCAGAGTGCAACCTCTGATCCTTTGGCACGGCAATGCTGGCAGTCAGTCCTGGCTGAAGACTAACGGACTTTTGCAGTCAGGGGTCCTCACATTTAAATGTGATTTCAATTCATTTTTACTTCAAGTGTCAATTATTCCTGAATAACTAGTCACAGAAGATATTTACAATAATAGAAGTAGCATTGGGCAGCACAGTGGGACAGTGGTTAGCTCTGTTGTCTCCAAGCAAAGAGCAAATCCTGACTGGGGTGGTTCTGTGTGGAGGTTCTCTCCCTGTGTCTCTGGGGGTGTTCTCTGGGTGCTCTAGCTTCCTCCCACTGTCCAAAGATATGCAGGTTAGGTTAAATGGTAACTCTAAATTGTCTGTAGGAGTGTTTGTGTATCAGCCCTGTCCAGCGTGTACCCTGCCTTTTGGCTGGTATTGGCTTCAGCCCTGTTAAACACTGAAACGGTAAAATACTCTGGATCATAACCAGCTCTTTATTATTATTATTATTTTTACAGTTAATACTGGCTGAAGACTAACGGACTTTTGCAGTCAGGGGTCCTCACATTTAAATGTGATTTCAATTCATTTTTACTTCAAGTGTCAATTATTCCTGAATAACTAGTCACAGAAGATATTTACAATAATAGAAGTAGCATTGGGCAGCACAGTGGGACAGTGGTTAGCTCTGTTGTCTCCAAGCAAAGAGCAAATCCTGACTGGGGTGGTTCTGTGTGGAGGTTCTCTCCCTGTGTCTCTGGGGGTGTTCTCTGGGTGCTCTAGCTTCCTCCCACTGTCCAAAGATATGCAGGTTAGGTTAAATGGTAACTCTAAATTGTCTGTAGGAGTGTTTGTGTATCAGCCCTGTCCAGCGTGTACCCTGCCTTTTGGCTGGTATTGGCTTCAGCCCTGTTAAACACTGAAACGGTAAAATACTCTGGATCATAACCAGCTCTTTATTCTTTTTTTAACAGTTAATACTGAGGCATGAAAACTTTGTAATGCTGTGATACAAAATAAAAAGGGTTTTCACAAGAAAGACCAAGAAAGACATACAACATGTTAATTTCATGTGGTAAAGACAAATTGTGATCACAGTTTTACTGAAAGACTGTAAACCCTTTATTCAATTTCTGTTTATCTTAAAATGTACATAAAATGATTTAAATCAGTTTGAAAAATGCTACAAAATATGTTAACTGCAAAAACATGTGCCTTACATAACTATAGTAAAGTGACTCAAAAAAAAAGCATGTCAGAGCCCTCATGGTCCCAAAACACAGTGTTGAAACTGAAGTCCTCTAAGGTCCTTCCACTTTGATAATATTGATCTGTGGATCCTGTGAAGAGAGGTCGGAATTCATCGCTGGCTGAGCAGACACACTGCAGTCCTGGAGAGACCTTGCTGAGCAGCTACTTGAGAAATCAGAAGTTTTGCTCTCTGATCCTCTGAAAGTCTGAGAATGTGACTGGCTATATGGAGAGATGTAGGATTGTGTGTAGGGTGGTATGAGTGGTTGACTGGTTTGCTGTGGATATGCAGCTGCATACGGTTGTGCTTGAGGGGGAGTGTGAATAAGTGGGAGGTTCTCAGCATTGCTACATGGCTGGAACCCATTTATGCTTGTAGTGCTCAGTCCTGGAAGTTTAAAGGCTTCTACATTTTCTAAACTCTCTAAAGAGCTATAGCTTGGCTGGGTTTGGCTGCATTGAGTGTAGGAGCCTTGACTAAAGTTGAAAGTGTCTTGACTGAAGGAAGTAGACACAGAAGCTGTTATCAAAGCAGAGGGTGACGGAGTTTTGTTGTGCTGCTGTTGAGCACTGCTACAATGTCCCAGTTTGGAGGCAAGGCTCTGTAGAGTGCTGAGGATTTGCTTCTGAATGTGTGTCTGCTGTGCCTGCTCCCTCTCCAGGCGACACTGTTGCTCCACCAGCATCTTCACTGCCAGACCCAAGCCGCGCACTTCAGAGCCCAAGGTCTGAATTTGATCCTGCAGACAACTTCTCCCTCCACTGGCCTGCACTGCCTGCTGGGGACTCAGGTTCCCCTCGCTACGAGTAGCACCTTGGCCTCCAGGGGTCTGTAGGCGGATGACAACACCCCCAGGAGCTGAGGATGTTAATGGTGCAGGTGGCCGGTTAGGAAGACGAATACCAACCCGAGGAGGAGGGTGAACAACATGGACAGACGTACCTGGTCTCTGTGTCAGGAAACGCCTAGGGGCACAGCCTACCCCAGGCTGACTCTCCATAACAGTCTAGACAACAAGGAAAAGATAACATGAATGCAATCTTACAAACATAAATCTTAAAATGAGTCTTAACTGGTCCACAGAAAACCAGTTACTGGAGTAAAAGCAATGCAATTCATTAAATTAAGAGTATAACTAACTGTTGTTTATGACAAATTAATTTACCAGAGTGCTGGCAAACACTCTGGTAAAGAATGAAACCTGAGATGAGTTATGGCATTTGAGGTTTCCTCTTTTCTCACCTTTTCAGTTGTCAAATCGTAAGTTTCAGACGACTGAGACATTGCACTTCTCAAATCAGCACCTTGGACATTTGAATGATCTCTCCTCAACAATGATGCCACCTGGTGGAATGACTTAGAAAAAAAATTTAAATATTGTTTGATGCTTATAGTAAGTGGCAAATTACATAGCTTTTGTGCTATTACAAGCAACAGTTACAAATCAAATAATTAACACTGTGACACCTGCACACCTTTATGTATATGTAGTTACCTTCATCCTGTGTGACAGTGCTTTATCCAAAAGCCTTTTTCGAGCTGCCAACATTGAATTGGTGGCTGGAGAAGGTGTTACTCTCCTCCTCAGGGATGCTCCAGGAACCGTTAGTGTGGAAGACACAGTGCCTGTCTCTGCCCTTGTTACAGTGGATTCAGGGCCTCTTTGTTGGCTTTTCTGTGCAAGGGAGGTGACACTAATAATCTGGATGTCATTTTCTTCCTTATCTCCCACTTGTTGCTGTTCTGGCCTGCTGCCTCCACTGGTCTCCCCAGACCCAGATGTCTTTGCACTAGTCTCTGTGCGTGTGGAGGCAAAGTCTGCAGCTGCTGTAAAGCCAGCATGATGAGATGCCTCCTGTATTAGGTTCTGGAGATGAATGTTACTCCAGCCCTCTTGTATTGCCCTGCCTCGAGCCTGCACCTGTGCTGGTGTTGTGCTGCTTCCAGCCTCTACAGGTCTGACCCTCCCTGGTGGTCTTCCTTGGAACTCCCGCAGGAAGAGATAGATGGCCTGTGCAGACACCTTGATGTTCTCCAGCTCTAGCACAGCTTTGATCTTACGGAAACTCAGACCAGCTTTCCGCAGCTCCACTACTTTGTGTTTGGCAGCATCATCCAGTCGGCCCATTGTCTGTCACAACCACGCAACTCTTTGTAGTGATTAGTACTAAGAAATACATGCAATAATACAGCAGTATTTTGCTGGCACCATTACAAAAACAGTCAACTTTGTTTCTCAAGAGTTCCTTTACAAGTTTGAAGAATTTCTTTTCATATTATAATGATGCTTTTCTGTTTTTTTTAAACCAAATTATCCAGCTGTAACAAGTAAATTTTATTACTTTGTTTTGTTATATCAAGAATATACATGGTGCTAACATAACTAAGTAAAAGAATAAACGTTTCTAGTAACATAATTTGTTTTAAATGGCGTTATAGTGAGAAAAATATCCAGTCAATGCCTCGGCCTACATAGTAAAACATTGACCATGCCTTAGTAATGCCATAGTGTGACTGACGTTACGTTTTTATGGTTAGGGGAATTACCGTATATAAAACCTACTCATTCAACATGAAAGAAACAATCAAGCAAAGACCTCAACAACTGGTCAGTTTTGCCGTTACAGTTTTACTCGATAAACCAATAATAAGGCGGGGTCATAAACATATTTTGACCAGATTAAGATTTGTTTTACCATAAGTAAAACTCGTAGGTAATGAAACAAACAGTGCCCAAATGTCAGTGAATAATTCCTCACTAAAAGTGACTGACATTACACTAGCCTAGCCATAGATTAATGTACACTACATATTTATCAACATATCCGTCACTGGAACAAGTTGGTACTAAATCCATGTTATCTGAACGAGCTTACGCCAACAGCTAGCACAGTAGCTCACCTTTCGAAACCTTGTCGACAAGATTGAAAATCGGTTGGCGCTTCCTACGTGGTTAAACCATTTCACGTACTACGTCGTCTTTGCGTTGCCATTATGTAATACACACATAAACTCACATCTTTATCGATAACAACAAAAATAAACAAACGTGATGCTTATGGCGCTCGGCTGGACACGTAATTTCCGCTTTGTCGTCATCACAGAGCGACGTTTTCTCAGGAAGCAAGTGGTTGAAGCGAAATCACCCCGTCTAAAAGAAATGTAAGTTTAGGTTTTTATGGGAGCGGAGTCAAGTTAGTTTCACTTCCAGTATGTTATAACGTGTAACATTTTCTAACCGTAGGTGCACTTCATAATAAAAACAGTTATCGATAAACAGCTCTGGCTATCTTATGCTTGTCTGGGAACCAGCTGAATGAAAATCAATGGCGGGGGATTTCTATCAGTATACGGTCGTTGGCATTAAGTTTATTCGTTTGAGATGTTTAATTGATAACAGTAGTGATACTGAGATATATACGCACCCCCATTAACAATAAAGCCATCGAAATTTTAAAAATAGCCATGTAAATATTTTCAGCTCGGAATTAGGGTCTGTTTTTACGTTCAGCGAGAAATTTACAGTTTGCTGCTCTAGAGAGACCTTGCTGAGCAGCTACTTGGGAAATCAGAGGTTTTGCTCTCTGATCCGCTGAAAGTCTGAGAATGTGACTGGCTGTATGGAGAAATGTAGGATTGTGGATATTCCCTCCAGGGAGGGCAGGGAGCAACCAATGATCTTTTGTGCTGTGGAGATCAGTCTCAGGAGAGCCTTCCTGTCCTCCGCCTTGGAGCCAGTGTACCACACACACAAAGCATATGTGAGGACACTCTCCACGGACGAGTGATAGAAGGCCAGCAACAGTTTTTTCTACAGATTGTTTTTCCTCAGGACCTGGAGGAAGTGCAGCCACTGCTGAGCCTCTTTCACGATGGCCCTGGTGTTTGTGCTCCATGAGAGGTCAGCGGAGATGTGGATGCCCAGGAACTTAAAGGTGGAGACCATCTCCACGCTCTCTCTGTTAATGGAGAGAGGGGCATGGTTTTTCCTGCTCTTCCTGAAGTCAGTGATGATTTCTTTGGTCTTTTTGGTGTTTAGTATCAGGTTGTGCACTAAGCACCAGTCAGAGAGTTTCCCTGTATGCAGACTCGTTTCCATCGGTGATCAGCACAACACATGGTGAATCATCCGCAAACTTTATGATGGTATTTGTTGGGTTGGATGGAGAACAGTCATGTGTGTACAGTGCATACAATAGGGGGCTCAGCACACAGCCCTGTGGGGAGCCAGTGCTGAGAGTGAGGGTGGAGGAAATCTGGGGGCCGAGTCTGACACGCTGTGGGCGGTTTATGAGAAAGTCCTTAATCCAGCTACAAGTGGAGAGGGGCATCTGGAGGTCTGAAAGTTTAATGGTGAGTATGTCCAGAATGATCATATTGAATGCTGAGCTGAAGTCCACAAAGAGCATCCTCACGTAGCTCCTCGGGAACTCCATGTGGCTCAGCGCTGTGTGAAGTGCGATGGCGATTGCATCCTCTGTGGATCTGTTTGCTCTATAGGCAAACTGGTGAGGGTCGAGGGAAGGAGGGAGGAAGTCTTGGATGTGGTGAGAAACCAGTCACTCAGAGCACTTCATGACAAAAGACGTTAGTGCTATTTGTCTGTAGTCATTTAGGTTATCAGTGGCAGATTTTTCATTCAAGGGGGATGATGGTGGCTGATTTCAGGCAAAGTGAAACTGAAGAGCATGACAGGGACAGGTTGAATAACTTTGTGAGAATCCCTACCAGCTGGTCTGCACAGGCTTTTATCACCTTAGCTGGGATGCCATCTAGTCCTGCAGCCTTGCTCGGGTTTAGTGCCCTCAGTACCCTTCTTACTTCTTGTTCATGGAGGCAGAGTGTGGTGGTACAGGAGTTGGAGTTTGTGGGGGGCAGTACAGGATGGTGATTGGACTCAATGTGTGCAAAGAAGTGGTTCAGCTCCTCTACCAGCCTGGAGCTGCCAACATTGAATTGGTGGCTGGAGAAGGTGTTACTCTCCTCCTCAGGGATGCTCCAGGAACCGTTAGTGTGGAAGACACAGTGCCTGTCTCTGCCCTTGTTACAGTGGATTCAGGGCCTCTTTGTTGGCTTTTCTGTGCAAGGGAGGTGACACTAATAATCTGGATGTCATTTTCTTCCTTATCTCCCACTTGTTGCTGTTCTGGCCTGCTGCCTCCACTGGTCTCCCCAGACCCAGATGTCTTTGCACTAGTCTCTGTGCGTGTGGAGGCAAAGTCTGCAGCTGCTGTAAAGCCAGCATGATGAGATGCCTCCTGTATTAGGTTCTGGAGATGAATGTTACTCCAGCCCTCTTGTATTGCCCTGCCTCGAGCCTGCACCTGTGCTGGTGTTGTGCTGCTTCCAGCCTCTACAGGTCTGACCCTCCCTGGTGGTCTTCCTTGGAACTCCCGCAGGAAGAGATAGATGGCCTGTGCAGACACCTTGATGTTCTCCAGCTCTAGCACAGCTTTGATCTTACGGAAACTCAGACCAGCTTTCCGCAGCTCCACTACTTTGTGTTTGGCAGCATCATCCAGTCGGCCCATTGTCTGTCACAACCACGCAACTCTTTGTAGTGATTAGTACTAAGAAATACATGCAATAATACAGCAGTATTTTGCTGGCACCATTACAAAAACAGTCAACTTTGTTTCTCAAGAGTTCCTTTACAAGTTTGAAGAATTTCTTTTCATATTATAATGATGCTTTTCTGTTTTTTTTAAACCAAATTATCCAGCTGTAACAAGTAAATTTTATTACTTTGTTTTGTTATATCAAGAATATACATGGTGCTAACATAACTAAGTAAAAGAATAAACGTTTCTAGTAACATAATTTGTTTTAAATGGCGTTATAGTGAGAAAAATATCCAGTCAATGCCTCGGCCTACATAGTAAAACATTGACCATGCCTTAGTAATGCCATAGTGTGACTGACGTTACGTTTTTATGGTTAGGGGAATTACCGTATATAAAACCTACTCATTCAACATGAAAGAAACAATCAAGCAAAGACCTCAACAACTGGTCAGTTTTGCCGTTACAGTTTTACTCGATAAACCAATAATAAGGCGGGGTCATAAACATATTTTGACCAGATTAAGATTTGTTTTACCATAAGTAAAACTCGTAGGTAATGAAACAAACAGTGCCCAAATGTCAGTGAATAATTCCTCACTAAAAGTGACTGACATTACACTAGCCTAGCCATAGATTAATGTACACTACATATTTATCAACATATCCGTCACTGGAACAAGTTGGTACTAAATCCATGTTATCTGAACGAGCTTACGCCAACAGCTAGCACAGTAGCTCACCTTTCGAAACCTTGTCGACAAGATTGAAAATCGGTTGGCGCTTCCTACGTGGTTAAACCATTTCACGTACTACGTCGTCTTTGCGTTGCCATTATGTAATACACACATAAACTCACATCTTTATCGATAACAACAAAAATAAACAAACGTGATGCTTATGGCGCTCGGCTGGACACGTAATTTCCGCTTTGTCGTCATCACAGAGCGACGTTTTCTCAGGAAGCAAGTGGTTGAAGCGAAATCACCCCGTCTAAAAGAAATGTAAGTTTAGGTTTTTATGGGAGCGGAGTCAAGTTAGTTTCACTTCCAGTATGTTATAACGTGTAACATTTTCTAACCGTAGGTGCACTTCATAATAAAAACAGTTATCGATAAACAGCTCTGGCTATCTTATGCTTGTCTGGGAACCAGCTGAATGAAAATCAATGGCGGGGGATTTCTATCAGTATACGGTCGTTGGCATTAAGTTTATTCGTTTGAGATGTTTAATTGATAACAGTAGTGATACTGAGATATATACGCACCCCCATTAACAATAAAGCCATCGAAATTTTAAAAATAGCCATGTAAATATTTTCAGCTCGGAATTAGGGTCTGTTTTTACGTTCAGCGAGAAATTTACAGTTTGCTGCTCTTTCGTCAGTTATTTCCTTTGTGTGTGTGCGCGTGTGTGCGTGTGTTCCTCTAGTTATACACTGCCGGATTATGTCCTTGTGTTGAAGAGACGTCTACTCCTCGCTTCATTTCTGAAGCAAAACCTGCTTTGTTTACTAAGTTAGCTTGAATATGTGTAAGTTAGGGACTTTTAAGTCTAAAGACATGATCTGGGGTTCTGGGGAATTATTATATGCAACTTTACCTATTTTTTTTATATTTTAAATTTTGATGGGTTGATAAATAATGAAAATAACACCATTCACAAAGTACATGATGTCAAAGTAACAGCAACTTGCCCCCAACTTAAGGGCACCATCACCCACAAAACGGAAGGAGGAGGAAAAAACAAAGGACAGAGGCAAAGAAAAAACTGGTACAAAGGAAGGAGAAAAGGAAAGAGGACGTGAGAAAGAAAGGAAACGCCGCAGTGCTTCAACTGGCAGCAGCAGCAGCAGGTTTATTTTCTAAATCATTATTATTTGTGTTTTGTAGTGGCAACATCAGTTCTTAATTATATGCATTTTCTAATGTGTTTTGTCATTGGCAATGTTCAGATCTAGTTCTACTTCAAGCAGCACCTCTGGTTCCAGCTCTGGGTCCTCAAGTGGATCCAGCTCATCTGGTTCCAGCCGATCTGGTTCTTCTAGTTCCCGTTCCTCCTCGTCAAGCTCCTCAGGCTCCCCAAGCCCCAGCCGCAGACGCCATGACAACCGCCGGCGCTCCCGCTCAGCGCAAGTCATTTTATCGAACACAGTACACTGAATTTTCACAATGTTTGCATTTGAGTATTTAAATTACGGTGAAGTTAATCAGTGTTTTGTCTGTGATATTGCAGGTCCAAAACACAGAAGAGGGGAGATGATAAGGAGCGAAGGAAAAGAAGCCCAAGCCCCAAACCAACTAAAGTTCACCTTGGGCGGCTGACCAGGAACGTCACCAAGGTCAGCAGAGAAATATTAAAATTTTCTATAGCAGAACACTGATACATTGTGAAGGCACCCTGCTGCTTTTATATGACCATGACAGGTGGCCCGTAAGCATAGTTGTGATACTTCATGTAATGTCATAAGAGACAAATATGATTGGAGAACAAAAGGTGTTTTGGAAATGTTGAGTCTCATGCATGATAATTTAAGTGTGTAGTATAAAACAAGTTTGGTAAAAAAAAAATCAATGATGAATCACAGTCTAAAATTTAAAGCATGTTCATGGGTCCTTGTTAAAAAAAGACAACTTTCCACTTTCATAATCTCCTAAACCAAACTGGAATTAATGTGTTAATTCATTATGATCATGGCCCAGTCAAAAGGCTTTCCATTTCCTTAGGCTGTTGCTGGGAGTGTAATTTATGTATTGCACGTTCAGATTATTTTACACACCAATTATAACAACATTCCTCCAATAAAGCCTTCTGTTAATATACTGTAGCTGGCCTTTTTTTTTTTTTTTGCACAGGACCACATTCAGGAGATCTTTTCCACATATGGTAAAATAAAAATGGTTGACATGCCAATGGACAGACTCCACCCACACCTGTCCAGGGGCTATGCTTATGTGGAGTTTGAGGCTCCTGAAGATGCCCAGAAGGCCCTCAAACACATGGACGGAGGTGGGTCGAAGTATTTATTTCAGCACTTCTGTCTTGCAGGATTACTCTGGACATATGTGTTGGGTAACTTATTTGTGATGACATAATAGGTCAGATTGATGGACAGGAGATCTCTGCGTGTGCTGTGCTGACTCAGCGTATCCGTCCTCCACCTCGAAGAACCTCTCCCCCTCGCAGAATGCCCCCACCACCACCTATGTGGCGTCGCAGTCCACCACGCATGAGGAGAAGGTAAGTCTCGTGGCCTCTTTTGCCTCAAATGAAGGTTTCCCCAAAATATATTTGACTGAGTTTTAGTCAAATACACCATCTACCTATACTTGATTTTTACACAATATGTTTACAGTCTTTGGATAAGTCTGCAAATTTCTTTTTCTGCTTCCAGTCCACAAGTTTTTTTTGTTTGTGTGTGTGTGTGTGTGTGTGTCCTTACAGGTCCCGCTCCCCGAGGCGGCGGTCCCCTGTTCGCCGGCGCTCTCGCTCCAGATCTCCTGGTCGCAGGCGTCACCGCTCTCGTTCCAGCTCTAACTCCTCCAGATAGATGGATTTCTTGCTCTACATTGCAAGCATTCTCTTAGATTCTCCACTACCAGATCAGCTGGATTACATTTGACAGAATTCACCAGAACTCACCAGAATTAAAATCCTTTCATTTGTTCCCAGAGCAAACATTTGCTTGCATGTTGAACATTGACTCTTTTCTTTTCTTTTTTTTGTTGTGTGTGCAAATGTGTTTTTTTTTTAAATATATTTTGTGATGTCTTAGGCTGGGGTTGGCCTCCACCTATAGCTACAAACATTTCTTTTGAAGTATGATTTTTTTTTTCCTACCATGTACTGAATTTTTAGACATTTTGAAAAATAAAAGTTTAGAACAGTCAGATTAAGACCAAAAGGCCTTGCTTGTTACCCTTGTTGGCTCAGTGCCTGCACGTTTGTTTACTTGAGGTACAGTTGCATGTTCTTTGATGAACATCGAAAATACACTTGAAATTAATCAGTCTTCTATAAACAGCAATGTGTTCACATTTCCGCAAGAACACTTAGAAGTCACATTTACTCATTAATCATCTGATATGTGTGGTCTCTGGAGGAGTACAGTAGGTTTCTGCAGATTGCTGCCTCAGTGCAAGTGTAACAGCACCTTCAGTAAATGGCATGATTTTTTTTTTATTGTTATTTTAGGAGCATTAACATCTATGAGCATGTTTTTGATTTGTGACTGGTAAAATCAAAGTAACATTTAGTGTAAAAATAGTATCCTTTTAGTGTATAATAAATTCTAAAAGCTATAATTACCACAGATGCATGTAGGTTGCAACCTCTCTGGATAAACGCTGCAGGTGGTGTAGCCTGCCTGATAACAGAATAACACAAAAGAATACTGTTTTGTACATATTATGGCCATCCCTGAGCCACAGGTGCAAATACAGTAGGCATCATATTTTTTAATATTTTAAGAACTTATGTGGTGTTATAATAATGTGGACCTCCCACATGTTCCTGTTGTTTATCCTTTTGATAAAGACTGAAGTTGGAGAAAACAACCCAGTGACGCAGATGGGACTATAACTGATCCATCGGAGATGAGGATGCTGCTATGGACATCTGCACCAACCTGTTTGGTCCTAAGAGTTGAGACTGACTTGATGAGATCTTAAGGGACTGTATCAGTGAAGGGAAGGTCAGTCAGCTTTACCCGAGTCCACCACCACCTGGATGAGATGACAGCAGCAGGGGCTACTGAACTGTAACCTTTCCTCTGGAGTTGATGGATTTCCTTTTTTTTTTTAATGATGGAAAAATGACCTAGCCCTGTGCAAGTCTGTGGTAACGTTCAAGAAACACTTTTGACGGTGGAAGTACATGTGCAGGCTTAGTTGTTAGATTAATGAGCGATTCTCCATACACTTGAAGTTGTTCTGCGATAAGTTGTAAGCCTGTCTTTAAGTGTTGTACTGTTTTCAAAATCATGACTGCCCAGATTTTAATAACTTTATTTTACTTTAGGGTTACATTTCTGAGTTGTCTCCCTCTGCCAAGTTTCAAGGGGGAGACCCATGCTTCAGGTAGGCCTGGGGAGGGAAAGTTTTGAGTTTTGTATGCTTATTAGATTTTTTCTGGACATGGGAGGCCTCCCAGCAGGGGAATTTATCCCCTCCGTCAAGTATTATTGCTGATGTGGGGATACGTTTAGCAGGGTCATACGTAGATGGGGTTGTTGTCAGAGCTGTTCAGCTTCTCTGCCACCTCAGTGCTGCTATTGGAGGTCATTGGGCTGTGACCTTTATAGTTAATTATGGCCTGAACGCCCCTTCCAAATCTGCCGTGGGTTGTTGTCTGTGAGTTAGCCCTCCAGCCTCTTTCCATAGGGCTCTTTAGCATGTTGGGTGCCTCTCTTCAGATTGGCTCTGGCAGTGCTGTGCAGTGACCTGTTGCTCATTCTGAAGGCCAAGTTTTGAGCCCTAATCAGAGCCTGGACTTCATTCATCATCCAGGGTTTGGAAAAACCTGGATGTGTTTCTCCAAGGTGATGTTTTCTATACAACTCTTTATGTAGAAAAGCACAGTCTCTGTTGGTGCCTCCAAGTCCTGCTGTTCAAAGACAATTGAATTGATACTTTTTTGACAATTTCACCAAAAACTGAAACATTTTGAGTTTCATTAACACAGATGTTAAGGCAGAAGTCGTGTAGTGGTCTATGTTAATGTTGGACTATTCATTCTACATTTAATAGCCTATAACATATCTGATGCTCTTGTCACACAGTTTAAATGTTTGTTTTTTAGGCATTTAACAAACAAGTGAACCTGATGCAGGTTATTCTCTTCTAGGGTTGGTCTTCACCACTGTCTGCGCCAAGTATATTGATGATCCATCCAGCCATTTGTCTGTAATCCTGCTAACCAATAAACACACACACACACACGGAACCAAAAATATAACCCCCTTGGCAGAGGTCAAGAATGATTGGATGAATGAATGAATGAAATATTTTAAGGCCCTATGGACTTATGCCTTCAGTATTTTTAAAATGATTGCCTAGGGCCTGTAGTGACATTTATACTTCCTTTATAGCCTAGCCAACCTGTTTTATGTTTTACATAACCTATATGAAATCATCTTAGATTTACAGTTAGGTCTCCAACCGCTACTTCCTCTGATGAGCTTGTTAAAAACATCTGCGAAGTTTTGACATCAAGTAAAAGACTAGTAATCATTTCCAGATGGAGAAGGGAGGGGAGTAAATGGGATGGGGTAAACTTTAGGTTTCTGTTTGGGTGTGTCGTGAACGCGTTTCCCATGGCCGCTTGGGGTCTCACTCCAGAGTAAGACAGAAGTCATTAGTGATGTAGCATCTACATGGATCTTCCGGGATCTACATTAGACTGACCATATCCTGCTGTTCGGCCACCCTCCATCAAAAATTAATTTTGGACGCATTACGACGCGCTTTTACGAATTCGGCCCAGCGCGTCCCGCGGCAACCTTGACTTTCGGTGCATGAGAGTTTAAGGTTTTCAGCCAGTGAGCAGGCTTCGGAGCATCAGTATTTGCAGCATGGCTTCGGATCAAGAAAAGAACAGACAGCATCTCAAACAGCTTTTGAGGAAATCTGGGAATGGAAACTGTGCCGACTGCGGAGCTGCAGGTAAGGCCGGAGGGATGTGTCACTGACAGTTACCGGACAGCTCAAGGCGCACTTTAGTGACTCTTTCCTACTTAAATCTCTCTGTTTATACTTTCAGTGAACATTGTATGCCCGTGGGAATTTATAAGCTATAGATAACCGTGCACAACAATTTGACAGCGTGCCCCCAGTTCGTTTTCGCAAGGGAGCACAGGGTCGTTAGTTTCTCCTCTCAGACACTCAGGATGTGGTCTGTAGGCAAGGTTGTGAAATATAAAACAGTTGACACTGAAGATCTTCACACAGGAAAGGAATGATCTTGGTGAGAACTCTAATAAAAGAGCGATCAAGTAATGGTTTTTAAATGTTTTGGCGCTCATACAAGTAACACAAGTGTCAAATATTTCAACTTTTTAGTTAAAGGTGGTTTACAAAATGCATTTCATCAGTTTTTAGTCTTAAGTGGGAGATTTTCTCAAATATATTTCACACATACATATGTTCATACATATATTTCATGTAGATTGAAGGAGCAAATATGTATTGATTGGGTGGCTGGTTTCCTTCAGCATGCTCACAAGTGGTCATACACTGATGATCACACCTATTTGATTTGCACTTGAAAGATTTACAGTTCAGTACATGGGGGTATAGCAAATGTACAGTTTGTCAAGTAAGGTTCCTCTAGAAAAGTATGCTGAATGTATTTAGCCTTTCCTAGCTTAAGCTTTACTGATGCTCAAGAGTGCTATTTCTTAGGCAGAATGACTTGTCTATTAGGCTTTGTCTAAACCTCAACAGACTTAGTGACAAGAAGAAGGAGTGGTTAACGCTACCTCTTGTCTCTTTGTACAGATGCACAGTGTTAAGTGTGTGCAGCTTGGTGATTATGCTCAAGGAAGTAATAGTTTTTGTTCTCATACTATTTTTGCATTGTCTGTGTGTGTGTGAGAGCTGAGAATATGTTTCACTTAGTCCTCATTTACAGTTGCTGAAGGGCAGCAGCAGGCTGATGCAAACTACTTTACACTGCTCCAGTTCTCTGGCTCACATGCAAAATAACCACCATGACAGCTGCAATCTCACCTTAAACCAGAGTAATGTTTCTGAAAATTAGATATGCAAGTGTAGGAGGAGCTGTTAGCTGTTCTGTTTTTTCACAGATCTAAATTTAAATTGATTAGTTTTCTTAAAAGTGTCATGATAGAACTGTTATCTTCCTGGCTTTAAAAAAAGTTACATATTCATTGTGAAATTCTGTGAAATTGCTGCTTGCTATGCTGCATTATTTCCACACTTGTTTCCCTTCAAAGAAATGCTAAAATAGTTCTGTTGTGGTCTTTCACTGAACTGCTCAAGAATAGCAAAATGTCATGAGCACTGAAACATGACAGGGTGACATGTTGCAAAAACATACTGTATGTGTGTATATATATATATTCATTTGCCATTTGCAACCATCTTCAGTGCATGTGTTCTTGGGTCACAGAGTTGCTGGAGGTAGTAGGCACTCATTGTATGTAGAAACTGTGAATGACATTGCACATACTGCTAACTGTACGGACAAGTGAATCACAGTACCGTAGACGATATTAATAGAAATGTTCATTCAAAACCTTTGTGCTGCATTGACACCGCTGTTTGCAATATTTTATTGCAGAGAATAGAACATGTTATTTAGATTAAAGGAACCACACTAAGTTGGTTCAGATCTTATCTGAATTATAGCATACATATATACACATAAAAAGATTCAAGGAAACATGACATTTTACAGGCATGCAGCATTTTTTCCTCTGATTCTTTATCTGAAATATCGAGTCACAAACTGATTTCCAAAAAAGGGACGTGTTGGTCCGTAAAAGACTTCGGCAATGTCCTTAAAGATGGCGGACAGGAACGAGTTCCAGGTCAAGTAAGGAGGGAGGAGCAATCAGATAAGGGAATTGGGATAACCCTTTATCTCTCCCCATTCCCTCTCCATGGAATGACCTTCTCTTGTGCATCTTGTGTCAGGTTTCTATTTCTTTTTCTATTTTTTTTCTTTCTTCAGCCAGCAGTTCTGGAAGACACCACTGGACTTCACGTGATTTTTCGGAATCTTAAACCACTCCAGGAATTAAGTGTAAAAATAAATAAATATATATAAAAAAAACTTCTATACATGTGAAAGTCTGTAATGTGTCAGCCATTGTTTTAGTTATTTGCTATTTATTTTGATGACCTTGCTTCAAATGCAACTGAGCTGTCAGTGTCTGTTAGAAGGAAGGAAGTTCAGGTGTTATTTAGAGCCTAAAGTGGTTTTTAAAGCTGACTCTACACATGATCTTATATGTTGTTTTGCAGACCCAGAGTGGGCATCCTATACCCTGGGCGTGTTTGTGTGCCACAGTTGCTCAGGCCTCCACAGAAACATTGCTCAGATCAGCAAAGTGAAGTCTGTCCTGCTGGATCCCTGGAGCTCCACTGAGGTGGAGGTGAGAGCTACTGTCTGTATCATTCACACATTCTCAACTAAGGGGAAAGCCCTGTTTTCAGTAAGAGATGTTTAGACCCTGAATATAGTCTAAAACCTGGCTTGAAGGAACATCTACAGCCTTTGGTCTCATCCTCACCATCCCACCCTACTCCAATGTGAGCATCACTCTCTGCCTGCTGCTTGGCCCTGCATGATTTGCATGTGTGTGCTCATGTGCGATCTATAGTTTCTCTGCTGTCTGCATGCATGGTGAGCACTATCCTCCGTGTTAAATACCATGACCCAAAACAAGAAGCTTCCATGACACCAGCATGGTCTCCCTCTGGGCAAGGAGTCAGCTATACAAACACTGTGCAGCAATACTTCATTGTATTTTGTATGTTTGTGTTGCCCTCATCAACTAAGACATTCATGCACTCACAGTCAAGCTACTGAGCTCACACAGATATACTTGTAACATACAGACATCAAGTGTGTTTCTTTTTCTCCTCTGCAGTTTATGGACTCTGTGGGTAACAACGCTGCCAAGGCCAAATATGAACAGATAGTTCCTGCTTTCTATTACTGTCCCACATACAAAGACTGCATGTAAGTGATGTCTGATTTGAACTGTTTCTGACACCTCTGTACTGCTGCTGTCTGTTGTGGGTTTTTGAACAGTAAAGGAGGTGAAGATGCACATCTGTTAAGATGAAATAACGTTAAAAGCCAGGCTTGTTGGAATGGCTAATGTGCTGTCAATACAATACAACACTTCAGTAAAGTCTAGTGGTAGCTGGAAGAGACAACATAAAAAATGGCAGTGCCAGTTTGCATCAGTATCCAGTAAGTTTTTCTATATCTGTCATCAGTCAACAACACTGTAAACCTCAACTCATATATATTGTGGTTATTTTGTACAATATTGCTGATAAAACCAGAAACCTGTCAGTGATAAGAATGCCAAGTTCCTGCAGTTTGAACAGGAAGTGACAGTTCAGTATGGGGGTTTATTCTTAACCATCCAGTGATATAACAATACACATTGCACTGAGCTATGAAGTTGATCTTACAATGGCCCTGCACTGTATTTATGAGAGGTGTTTGTTTGAGGCAGTACAAAAAATTTATGGGAGTTGGAAAAGAGAAAAAGGCAAATCCATGGGCTCGGAGCATTCGTAAGAGCTGTAAGAAGCTATTACATCAAAGAGTGGAGTTGATTTGTGACATTAAATGACATTAAGCATGTTGAAATGATGAGTTTCCTCAGAGAAGCATGCTGAAGATGGCACACACATGCAAGGTGTTAGTTTCTGCATGATTCTTTGAATGTTAAGGATAATTATTACAGGAACAGAGAGTCCAGACACATTAAGGTAATAAAGACAGAAGAGCAAAGGACATATCAGTTCTATAATAGATGGAGGACAAGGGAAAGTGACAAGTGATAATTACAAGAAGCTGAGCTGTTACATTTGTTCCTGCTTAGAGTTTGCATGAAATGCAGCCTGGAGGCTCGGCATCATTGAAGGTTGATGAGACGTTTCCAATAAATTAGCTCAAGCATGAAGTAAACATCAAACCCAGACAGTGCTGAGTGTCTAATGCCCACTGTTTTGCAGGATCCTGCGGGAACAGTGGATTCGAGCCAAGTACGAGAGGAAGGAGTTTTTGTGTGTGGAGAGGCAGGAGCCCTACTCAGCAGGTAGGAATTACATGTCTCTATACAGTTGCATGCAAAAATAATTATACTTAATGCTCCCTCTGGAAAACAAGTAATTGTGCCTCACACATCATCACTGATTCAGCAGTGAATGAAAGCAGGGAAACAGCATCATCCATTTGTCATTACCAACGTTCTTGGCTGACACAGATCTGATCACATCCAAGAGAAAAGGGGGCCTCATGTCACGCCCCACATTGCTGTCTCTACTTAAAGGAGTGTTACTTAAAATCATGTGAATGTGTGTCGGATGACGAATGTCTTGGGTAATCGACTGACACAGCCTCATTAAAAGACAGAAAGTGGTCCCAGCCTGACTGCTACTTACTCAGCTTATCAATAATGGAAAGCCCATCAAACTGCCTGGCAATGAGCTTGCAGATGCTAAGATTGCACCATTATGATATTTTAAGGTTTTAGAATCTTAAGCTGTTAAGAAAGAAAGAGGTGCAGTTGGTGACAATTATTCCATCAGTGAGTTAAATGAAAAAATGGGTTGATACATTAAACACTTAAAACCACAGATTTATCGAGACTAAATTAGAGACCCTTCTCTTAGCATAGTTTGACTTGGTTAACACATAACTATAATTCCATTTAAGTGTTTTGCCTCTCAGTGTAATGGAGCAATGAATAAATGACAGGCCCACTGTTTTTCAACCTGCATCTTTATCTTTTTAACACATCATGTATAATGATAGATCAAAACAGCACAGATGGATTTAGTTTGGAGAAATTCACTGTCAATGTTTAGTTGTAGCATTTCACTGGACTTCTTCCCTTAGGTTGTACTGAACAGGAAGCTGTCAGTATATTCTGACATGTCTGTACTGTATGTTCCATATGTTCTGCTGATAAAAAAAAAGATCACTAACCACACTTTTCAACATTTCCCTTGGTTACTTATGTGCTAGGAACAGTATTTTGTGCATGCTTGGTAGAGTATTTAGACATTACTGTGTTACTCCCTTTTTCTAAGCAATTGGTGGGGCTATTTTGTCAAAATAGTCATTAAATAGATGTCACTGCTAGAGTTGCAGTGTCACATTTACATGCTATGAGCTGTTCTGTACTGCAAGAGTAAGAAATTCCTTTATTATACATTAAAGAGCTAAAATACAGTCCTGGATTTCTCAAACACTTTGGTACTGTCTAATATGATTATTAATAAGATTTTTTTCCCAAAAATGTACACAATGTTTACAGGACAAGAAGGACTGTGTGACTGAAATGCACATTTTCTCTGGGGGGAATAAATGTATCAAAAAGACACATGCAGAATACTAAAAACATGCATGCAAAAAGAAAAATGATTATAATTTCCTGGTAAGGCAGAGAGGAGAAAGCACTATTATCTGAGTCTCATGACTGTCAGACTCTTCCTCTGTCTCTCCCTCTCGGTCAATGGCCTCTTGTGTTGGACTGTGCAGAGGTTTAGGACCATGTGTCTGAAATGGAGGAAGAATGGTCTCTTTTGTGTACAGATATTCTATGTGACATTGTTCTTTGACTTTTATGCAAGGGTGGACTAGCAGTGATCTGTAGAGGACCTGAAGAAAGGCAGAGGCTGTGGTCCAATACTGTTCTTGCTCTCCCGAGTGTTTCCATTTTAGGAACCTATTGAAACGTATCGTGCCAAGTAATGCTTGTCATGTGTTCTGCGTTTGTTTTCACTGCACCTGCTTTTCAGGTGCATTTTGGGAACAAAATTCCGGCACCCCTCAGGAAGTCGTACTAAAATCAAGTATCAGGAACGTGAGGAGGGAGGATGTGCATGAGCACGGAGGAGTCATCGGTGATTGGTTAAATGTCCGCGCCTTCACACCTCAAGCATTCGCATTACAACCACCATGTGTAAACACACAGCTGACTGCATGTGTGACAGAGGAGCAGTGCCTCCCTCCCCTAAACAGAGACTGATGGAGAGAAAAGAACAGTGAAGAAACAAAGCAGGATGGTCTGTGTCAACCCTGGAGGCTATGCTTTGTGATGGTTAAGGGAAGTACGGGTTATAGCACTCATTAGGTTCTGATGGTGGAAATGCACCATTCGACATCTTGTCTTCTTCTCCTCTGCTGCGTTATGTTGTGAAAAGTCTGACGCCCTCCTCCCAGTGGTGAAACAAAATACTCTGGCTCATAAATAATTGATGATACAATTTTTTTTTTTTTTTTTGACCTTTACTTTACCAGGAAATCCTTTTGAGATCAAAATCTCTTTTTCAAGGAAGACCTGGGTATTTGACCAGCAACTGACAGTACTGTGGAGATGATTTTCTTGTACAGCTCCATGAAAACTTGTTTATTGGTTGTCTCTTATGCTGACTGCTGTTAGCAGATTCTCATTTATGCATGTATATAGAATGTGCTATTGACCCTGCGGGTTGGCATCAACAGGGTTTATTATTGTTAACCTATTACAGTATATACCGCCACTATTAAAACTGCTGGACTAAAACCACAACTGAAATTTAAAAAAAAAGTAAGTTTCTTTCAAGTGTTACAATCTGTGGATATTTCAGTGTCACGGTGCTGCACTGTTCTCAGCCGAGACTTCCTTAAGAAAATGTGAAATTTTGGTCCTCAAATTGAAAGCAGATTAATTTCATTTTAGTGTCAAAATCTAAATCTTATATTTTGAAAAATAAGGTTTATGCTTGATATTGCTGTTTATACAAATGTTAGTGTGTCTACGTTGTTAAGCTTGTGTGTGTGTGTATAGGGCAATGATGCATTTATTCCTGCAGTGCTGTTTCTGTTGGCTCATGCTGAAAATTGGCAGAGAGGCCAGGAACAGGTCCAGGATAAGAGCCAACAAGATTTGCTTGTGTGTGTTAGAGAGGGGAGAGAGAGCTTATTCCAGTGAAATTTTGAGCTAGTAAAGGAAATTGAAGATGAACTGTTTATGTGTAAACAAGCAGAGGTGCTACTTCCCACAACCGAGCTGCTTAAAACTGTAAACACATTAGCCAACATTGTACACATAAAAACAAGGTCACCAATATGACGGGTTTTTGTTGTCAGAGTTTTTAGTAGCCTACCGTTGCATTGTTTCCATTTAGATGTTTAAAGCTCTTGGTGACCGTGTGTAAAGGTTTTAGAGTAAGCAGTATGTAAACCACACAGCAGTAGTTAGACTTAATTTAACATGAAAATATCATGGGATTAATTCAAGTGAAGGAGATGTGTCTCTTGACAATGGGGGTTATGCGGAACGTCACGTGACCAAACCGGAAAACAGGTCAGCGCACTTCCGCAGAACGCGGGTGACACAACAGTAGTAATGCGAAACACGTTTTTTGAGCTCGTTTTATTTGATTAGTTAGTAGATAAAACAAAAATGTATTTTTCAAGACACAAATACCAGAAGCGGGATCATCCAAACAGTGATTTCTGCTGCGTACCTCAATGCGCGATGTCAGGAAAGTTCAATTCAGCCATAAGCTTTCACCATTTCCCTAAGGATGAAACCTTAAAAAATATGGATACGTAATGTACGACGTGATAATCTTGTAATTAAGAGGACGACAACAGTATGTAGTAGACACTTCGTCTCCACAGATGTAATTCAAGGTGGACGACGGTGTTTGGAAGGAGCCGTTCCAGTGTTGTTTGCCTGGAATGACTACTCTCTGCCTGCAAGTAGACCAAGCGTGTGGGAGAGAACGCAACGGCCGGAGGAAATTGAGGAGGAACAAATGAATGTCGGATTTCTGCTTCAGTCTCATGACTATGCTAGACCAGAACCATCAGCCTTGGACATGGCATGTGAAAAATTAGAAGCCCAGCAGTTTGCGAATTTAGCATTTCCATCACACAAGCTTAGTTACTATTAGCTTTCCGGTAGTGTATTACATTATTTTGGTGTACCAGACAGATGCTCGGTGTAAATATCGATAACATTAGCTAGTTAGCTTACGAACTAGCTTAGCTACATCTCCGTTTGTAAGATAACCGATACATAACTCTACCTTCGTAGTCGTGGATGTATGAAGAAGCATATAGCTTAAACCCCTTATCCAGCTTGCTGCCCGGTGTTTTAAACAGCAAACTGCATATTAGGTGGACATCCGTGATCTTCATCTTTGGTAGTTCTTGGAGACATCTTGAGTAGAACAGTGCCATATTTCATACTAGTCACAAACCGGAAACGGATGATTCTGTTTTGCAGTATACGGAAGTAAGTTGCGCATAACCCCTATTATCACGGGAGAGGAAGTGCATCGATGCGGTTCTCGCAGACCAATCATCAACAAGGTCCGTGCGCAGTGGGCGTGGCTACATGTGTTTTAAATTTTGAGAGCAACTGTTAG